ATCACTGTTCACGTCAGAGTGGTCCCCTATTGACCGTAGACGTCATTAAAGTGTCACATAGAAGCGTTCCTAAAATCCATGCCGAATGCACTTGAATCTTATCAAACTGTTACATGAACAGTGCCCCAATGCTTGTCGCAATAACAGCGTGTCACCACTCTAGTCGTGTGACGTGGTCGTACCTCGACGGCGTTGATCGTTGCTCATGTTGTTGACCACTAATTTACTTCACCAGATCCGACTATTTACGGGTCGTGATGATATAAACTGCCGGGCAAAAGAAAGTATACTCTAGAAATTAGATTGGACGAAAAACGTTACACACATTTTCCAAACGTTACTAGTCTGAAAACAGTCGCCGAAGCACTGGAAACTTGAGGTCCAAATCACAACTATGACAACCGTATCAAATACATCACCATCGATTAACAATTTCTTGTTTGTTTCATGTTTAAGCACCATGAAACATTGTTGAATACTTTCTTGTGCCCGGTAATATTTTGTTGACTGCAGCATAAAACAAGATTCCCCCGCATCCACGAAGAACCCCGTTGATCGAGAGTAATTAGAACCATTGAAATAAAGGTCACCTAGGAATATTCAAAAATCAGAAGAATTAATTTTACTAATGTATTGCAAAATACATATTACCTTTTGATTCATGGATATATACTCTTCAAAAAAAGGAAACGCAACACGGATATTTTTGCCCATAAAGCCATATTAGCAAACATTCAAGTGAAGGGATTTTGATTGCCTTGCATCTGTGTCAATCGAACACTGACATTTCAACAACATGCCAAGATTAACAGAAGTGCAAAAAAACAACGCTTGCAGGCAGGGTAATCCCGATCAACTGTAGCCAGGGTTTTCAATGTAACGCCGTGCACCATCACAAGGCTATGGGATCGGTTTCAATAGCATGGGTCAACACGTGATCGGCCATGGTCGGGACGACAAAGAGTAACCACCCCTGCTCAAGATCGCTACATCCGACCACAGCCACCTCAACCGCATCCCAAATACCCGGACTGCGCAGAATCTTCGACCAGACCGTATGAAACCGTTTAAGAGCAGTAAACTAACGAGCAAAACGTCCTGCTCGACGCGTCATATTAAGGACTGCATTGTCGTCGTATGGCCTGGTTCAGCGACGAATCAAGATTTCTCCTCCGTCGAGGGGATGGAAGAGCATGGGTCTACAGACGTCGGGGAGAACGTTACGCCGGAAACTGCGTACAGGAAGTGGACAGGTTTGGTGGTGGTAGCGTTATGATGTGGACGTCTATCTCTAATCATGACAGGACAGGTTTGGTCCATATCCAGGGCAATCTTACGGCTCAACGATACATTAACGAAATTCGACCACCACACGTTCTCCCAATTGCAGCCAACGGCAACGGTGTATTCCAGCAGGAGAACGCTCGACCACATACAGCACGGATCACAAGATCCTGTCTACGCAACAACAACAACAACGTTGATGTTCTCCCCTGTCCCTCCAGATCCAGACGGCTACGCAGCAGTTGGCTTTTGCGTTGCAGGGCGAGTGGGCTACAATTCCCCATGATCCAGAGCCCCCCTTTTGAAAACCAAATGTAATTTGTTTTAGACAATCCAGCCTACCCCACACACCCCACTCCAATTGAGAGAGCATTTAGATATTTTCGACCCCTCTCTTTTAACAATTCTGGATCCGCCCTTGGTACCATTACGGCATAACACGTCTCCCTCTGGTGTCAAGAATCTTTATGTGAAGGTTCAGATAACACAGGACCATATATCAATGTTAATGACTGACCCCGAGGACTCCCCATCCGCATGTTCAACATTCATATAACAGTCAGATAAGTTACGCCCTAAGAACTTAGATGGCACTTTGATATGATGCAGTACCACATGGATTGGCATACGAGGTTGGTCAGTGAATCTATTAGCACCTACAAACAGGGTTATATCAGGAAGTTACTTCACGTTTTACTCGTAATGTGTTGTACTTGAGCGTTCTCTTTGCCTTGTTCGTTACTGCTCCATCGATCTTAATTATAAAGACATGGTCATTTCAAACGTTGTAGCGTCGTTTTGTTATGGTCGGTTATGTACACGTTTGAATTTCAGTACAACGCATCCTGACAAACAAATACACTTAGTAACACAGTTCAACATGTTTCTTTCTCATTGAAGTATTGCGTAAGATCGCTATACTCCAAAAACAAATATGACCACATACTATGTATGTTTTAGTATACTTTCACTTTCACTTTTGGCCTCCGAAATCCCAGTCGTCTTAGGCACAGCTGTTCGCTGTGGAGAATATCTTACCTTCGCCGTGCCAAAAACCTTTAATAGTGGGTTCGAATCCCACGTTCTCCCTGATCATGTTTCTAGGTTTGTCAGCACCATATCCGTGGTCGTAGGAATAAAACTAGTTATGATGACGTCCCACAACGAATACTCCACATTTTCAAGATTCATCGATTACCTGGTGCCTTCTGTTAGGGTAATGGCACCAGGTGATCAACTGATAACATGCTGGAGGTTTCTCCTTGTATATATCATTAGTATTAAGACAGCACCAATTCATCAAAGCCACCATCGTGTTTCATTATTGATAGGAGGGTTCTGTATCAGTAAATTATCCGTTCCCCCTACGGAATATAAACAAGGCTGTATAGCACGGCGTTTGATTTATTCAATTAGAGCACATCAGCCACATTTCCCCAGGCCTTGCATGATTGCTTCATATTTTACGTTACCATGGATACAGATACTCATGTAAATACAGTGCACAATTTCGTTCTTTAAATGACTGCCATTTCTCGTTTAGATCATGTTTTAAAGGGGTAAAATATGCGAAACGGATATCCGCACCCCGAGGGAAGACCGGGACACAATGGCTGTGGTTCTACGAGGAGAAACAAACCCAGCAATGATCCAGCAATATCGCGGCGGGGAACACCAGAAATAGAATTCAGAAGTTGATTCCATTTGTGGAATCGAACCTGGGCTTTCGCCGTTAGGAGCGAAGACATTAACCACAAAGCTACCCCACCGCCCCTAAATTGAATTCAAATTAAAGTGAGTGAATGTGTTTTTACGTCACAGTCATAAACACCCAGGTGTATAATGGCAGGCAGTAAATAATCGACTCTGATTCAGAAAAAAACAGTGACGACTGACAGCATGAGCAACGATCCACGCAATTCGAGTACGATGACACCCGGTCTTAATGACAAAGCGGCACCCCCTGAGCTGAATCACCGAGCGCTACCACCAGATTTTCTTCAGTCAGCTCTTACGACGAGCAGAGGTAGGGGATGCTGGGGACCTCACCCGTAATCCTCACTCACAGTGTCATCTGTCCAGTGTTTCAGTATGCATTAAAGCGACAGAACCCTGTCCATATTCATAAGACATCTCTGCCAAAAGCTTCCGACTATATCATGAGCTTGTGTTTATGAATCACTATCAAATAGTGATGATACCAGGTGTTCACAAAAAGGTTTCACCCGTCACAAACAAATGCAAAGGCAAGCCAATTGTTCACCTGAAAAAACGGGAACATATGGTACAAAACCAATTCTTGTAAAGGCCGACTTGTAAAGAAAGACGCACAACTTGTCATAATTATGATGCTTTTATTTGTTAGAAAAAGAAAAAATATAAGTTTTCAAATAATAAGTATAAAAATAACAAAAATAATACAAAAATATAGAATATTCTGAAACAATACATGCAATATAACTAAAAATACATGTCAGGTGTTGTGCTGACATCTAGACCTCACTTGTATCGTAACCTCTCCCTCCAATCACTGAACAGGTCGGGACATTCACGAACGTTCTGTAAAGTTGACTGATTAATGTCAACGTCAATGCTACAAGCTTGTTCACCCTGGTGAGTGTCTAGTTTGCATACATAAAAACATGTAAATGAACAATGCCAAACAATTTCTAATGTTGATCTTTCATTTATGGGAACTTTGTGTTCTGCACAACTAATTCTGTTGAAATAGAATCAAACACGGTAATTTTGAGGCGACAGTATGAGATTGTGTGAGTCGTGTTTCCCAGACCGACGGCGGCATTAAAGTATTAATAGGATATTTTATCAGGATATCACTAAAATGAAGTATTTTGATTATATTAAAACATAAACAAATAAATGAATGAAAAACGAACAAGTTGACCAACACAGTTAAACTGCAAACCACGACTGAACATACCTCTTAATCTTAAATTTCAATTTCAATTGTATTTGTTCAAGTAACTGTCCACTGTTACTTGTTTGTTCTGGGGCTTAAAACACATCCCTACTTTCTCAGACTTTCATTACATCCCTACTTGCGCCAGGCTCCACCGCGTGTTGAACTTTTGCAATACATGGTACAAGGCGCTTAGCCATTTCACGGGGACCTAAACAAGCTTTTTATCCATCGGTTGTACGTTTGTTGATGAGGACAATAGGAAATGTAGCGCACACATAAGCTTTTTTAACAAAGGATTGCCTCAACTTCAGAATGAACATTGTAATATAGGTAACATTACATAACACAACATTGTACATATTTTTCACTAAAGCTTTACATTTTATACAAAAAAAAATGTAATAGTTATTTTCACAATGTTTTGTTGTATATCGCCGAAGCCGAGGTTGACTATTACACGTCCTCAAATAATAGGATACAGGTTCGAACCCGCTGGCAACACAAGCTTTCGGACAAAAATTGGAATCATTCACTTGATTGTCAAAATACAAAGTAGTTCCATTAATTCCAAGTGTACATTATATACCCCCAACTGTCCATTTATGGAAAATAATGGATCGTTTAAAAATATAGAGTCTGGGCTTTAATTTAATTCACACTTTCCAGATGACTTTGCTCATCGATATATACGCCTAAAGTGGACTCTAAACAACAGCCGACATGCAAGTGAAAAATCTAAATTTACATACACATTTAAGTAGGAACAATTTACATTGATAGACTGTCCCTACACCAGGAACAATAAACGGGAAATCTGTCTGAAAGTAGCATTAAGGAAACGCAAACCTAGACCAATCAGACGTTTGAGTTTTTTTTTATTGTTTGATGAGTCACTTTTTAACAATAGAAATAACTGTTACGAGGATATCCTGCGTTTGCAGCTAAAATTATAATCTAAGGAGGAAAGTTATTAAACAAAAATTAAACAGTAATTTATATAAAATGAATCAAAAACAAATAATCAAAGTAACTGAAAATACTGACAAGTTGATATCAGCCTGACAATACGAGGTATTCAGGAAAATATATATCGTCATACCCTTTTGTAAACATATCTTGATTTTATCTAATCTTAATCTACGTCGCACTATGTGGTAACAAAGACAATAGTCTTGGACAATAATATTTAAGAACAAACCAAAAGTACTCTCACAAAAGTATTCACATTGACGAGACCGATCTGAAAAGAAATATGTCAGTTATATATCTTTAATGCTTCTGAGATAGTATTCAGATTCTTTCACGTAAACAATTCTCACAGAGTTGACTTGAAATCAATTGAAATAACACAAAAACTGTATTTATATTTTCAATAAATGAAAAAAACACGAGTAACAAAGTTGAATTATAACAACGTTAAAAAGAAAAACACAAAGAACAAGTTAACTGAACTCAATAAAACATTCTTCTCAAGCAAAGTTTGAATATTCCTGGAAACTGTCCATGTAGACCTTCACAGAGTCAAAGCAGAATTCAAATTGTTCCTGAAATTATATTAAAAACAAACAGTCATAACTTCGAAACCAAGGTCACTGTAACTGATTATTAATGATTACATTCAGGTTAATGTACACAAAGTTTTGTATTACTGTGTTGTCGGACGTGATTGTTAAATGTACTGTCAACAGTTTGAACGACATGACCATATGTCTATATTCGGAAACATCTTCTTGAAGCTCTCAAGGTTTGGTCTGATTGCATACATCCGCCGGTGCATCTGTAAGTGTTCCCGCAATTGTTCTCAAATGATCATTGTCTGTTGTGTCTGATTTGGACATGAGAGAGGAACCAACCACTCTGGGAGAATACATGAATATCTAAGGTCACGATGATACATACTTCGTCATCAATTGAATTTAATTTAACGCCCCTGTATATATTATTTCAGTTTAACCGGCGTGTCTGCTTTCGGAAAGTCAGAATTAAGTGATTCAGGTCTTAGCAGTATACCCCACTGGTGACAAAAAACATCAGAAGGGGTATGGTGATGACAAACCAAGAATCAGAATCAGAGACAATCTGGGATTCGAACCAACGATCATATGATTCAGTTACGCCCAAAGGACGCCAAGAAGGGTGTCAGATGTCGAACACATTAAAGTTTGAAATCAATTTACATAATATATAACCGAGAAATAGCATCAATAGTCAATTTGAAAATGAACACGATGACATTTAACCAGATTCGATGTGCAGCGAAACATCGAGGGCTCTGTTAACTTGACGATACAACTTTGTGGTTCTGGCAGAATATGCATGAGTACAAAAAGTCAACATCGCCACAACGCCTGTCTCGAACCACGGGTAACTCGAAAATATGTCCATGTGTGTCAATGTATATGATCCAAATAGTAATCTATAATTGATTATCTTAATAAACGAGTTGAATGAACGCAACACCATACCCGGTTAGGAATAACCTGTTTTCTGACAAAACGTATGATGCGTATCGTCTGCGGGAGGGCAACTTCTTTCTCCAACAGCAGTCGCTGCACTGCACTGGCCACTACACAGAACAGACCGCTTCGGGTGGCACCGTCCCTGCAACAGAAGAAGGCACCATGTCAGTAATAATATACGAGAAAAGGAGATATAGAATGCTATTGTGGATGAATGTGTAGCCTATTAGTACCTGCAGACAACTAGGAGGGGTGATGTCCCGGTGTTCCACTGTCTGAGGAAGTCGATTAAGCTCAGGAGGCTAGATGGGGATTCCGGAAGTGAACTCTTCTGAGGCCAGGCGGAAGACCGGAACACGGTTACGTCTTTTTCTTCGGTCTGCGTGGAGAAACAAACCCATATTGATCTAAGTGGGATAGTCATTTGATGCGCACTGCAGTCAGTAATACATGTATTCCTGCTTTGTGACGGTGGTCTGTATATAAATGAGTCCCTAGCAAGGTACACCAGTGGCAGAGATCAAGAACAACGTTCCACGCGTGCGTGCGTGCGTGCGTGCGTGCGTGCGTGCGTGCGTGCGTGTTAATGTTCATACGTAATTCCAGGTTGAAATATGTACAAGGCTGCCAGATATATCTAGCGACCAGGCTCCGTGATTTGTGGTTTTCAATGTTTTTGCTGTTTGCGCGTGCTTGAGTGCGTGCTTGAGTGCGTGCGTGTGTGTGCGTGCGTGCGTGTTTGCCACTTGGTTTGCGTGTTGTCGTACGGCGTGGACGTTGCTCAAAATACCAATCACCGATTTGTGTCTTGTCCACATAAATATAAGTTGGGGTTCGGCGTTAAACAACAAACACACAATCATCATACGCCAGTTATAAGTTACCGCCCAAGTCAAAATAGAAACAAAAGCCCTTCAGATCTGCTCATAATACCAATCACTGATTTGTGTCTTGTCCACATAAATATAAGTTTGGGTTTGGCGTTAAACAACAAACACACAATCATCATACGCCACTTATAAGTTACCGCCCAAGTCAAAATAGAAACAAAATCTCTTCAGATCTGTATACGCACTCATTGCCCTTCGGAAATGTGAATCATCTCGACATTTATCGGTTCATAAACACCCGCTCTGTATTTTATCGTAAATATATTTGAATATGTGGAAACTGTTTGCCAATTGTATTGTTTGTTTCGTGTTTTAAGCTCTCCGCGTTTTACGTCTTAAACGTTCTTAACATCGACACAACCGTCTAAATTCGAATATAAAAATACTTTGAGTGAGAGTAAAGTTGTCAAACTAGCAGACGTAACATGGAATATGAAAGTTTGTTCTATTGTTCTATGAATTTTTGTTTACATATATACCTGGTGAGTGTATGTAAAATGAATTGTAGTATGCCCTCATGGATATAGCTACTGAGAAGCAACCAGACGCTTAATGTTATACTGAAATATATGTGTAAGGACATATAAGCATTATAGTAATGAGTAACGTGTACAAAAACAGAATGTATGTCTCTACAAAGTTGTACATGTGTCATTCAGCATTCCAGTGATGTGATAAATGATGTTTTCGCATGTAATTAGAAGATTGTCACGAACATGTCACCTTTTCGAGTTTAGTATTTCACACATCTATATCACTAGATTGCAACTGCATTAAATACTAAATACATAACCTAATAGAAAGTGGCGCCTATGAACATATATATCAGATTAACAAGTAACACTAGTGTCGACAGACGAAATACATCTGATCACCGCACGTCATCAGACCGGCTAACATCTAGTGAACATAATGCTTTGTTGGCTATAGTGTTCTACATGGGAATGTAGAACATGATCAAGTTTACACGGGAACAAGGAACACATAGCAGGAACAACGTGATCAACACAGCATGTGTGTGTGTTTGTGTGTTGGTTGTGAAATTGTACAAGCTTGGTTCACATTACTATCCTCCATCACCAAACCAAGTTTCCTCTTTAATATCGGCACGACCGATCAGTTACTACCATCCATCGCATAAGCTTCCTTGTTGAATTGGTTTAGAATTTCTGTACCTACTTGTAAATATACAACCAAAAAATAACGAGTCTCGATTAACCAGTAAGTCATGGATACTTAATTGCACAAGGATGTATATTATCGTTGACACGACAGTCACCGTATTTCAGTTTTATCAGTCCGAGACATGCTTCCTTGTTGATCTGAAACCGTCATGTTCCTTGTGGATATCCTTGTCAAGTGATAATATTCTGTAATTTCAGCATCTGTCCTTCATCATTGTTAATATACATTATGAAATATTTGACAAAAAAGTTATATTTTGTACTTGGAGATTGTATTGTCTCGTTAATGTAGATAACGATGTTCAAGTGACAGTGTTAATGTTCCCCTTCGCATTCCACACATGAACTATATTTTGGAAAAAAACCACGAGTGGGAGTTGTTTATCTTACAATAAAACACTGCAGGGAGAATAAGCCATGAGGGGTGCAACGTCGAGTGGATTAATCTCCCTGCAAGGTTTTAGTGTACGATAAACAATGTCCACGAGTCATATATTTGTAATATGAGATATCAACACCAGGTACAGCTTCTTTAAGGGTGACGATAAATTGTACAAGCTTTAAAAACATTTACCCAAATTTTATTAATGATGACTCCCCGAATAGAATCCGGACATGTCGGACAAGTCTATTTTACGAACAGGTGGGTTAAGTTGGGTAGTTCTCACGACGATTATCTGTACCTTTTCTCCCAATACCGATTGTCATATCTCTCCCGCTTTACGTGTTTATCTGCGTAGCCCAGCTACATATATGGGGAACAACTTACTAGTCACTTGGAACCCTCTAAAAAATAACGTCGTCCAATATATGACGTTATCTAGTTGCGAGCGAATATTCGAATCTCCAGAAATGACGTCATGATAGAACAATGAATTAAAACATACCTGTGACGTCATTCTATTCTTTGAACGCTCCATTACTTTTCAGGAATGGAGAGTTGTTTGTCAACTATACATTATTCTTGAACCGACATTCGAATTAATTTCCACTTTGGACAGAACAGTAAATAATTTCAATTTCTTTCCGAAAAGCGGGGATTCGAACCTGCATCGTTTGATCTGATATCGTGTAATTTTCAACCTCAGCTGCGGTGGCACATGAAGGAATCGTGTGAAATTAACTATTAAATATTTTCATAATTTTCTATACCGCTTAAAAGCTCAAAATAATATGTATAAAGTATTGTGTTTGAGCAGGTTACCTACAACAGTGTTCATATTTACAGTAATAAGATAAACCTTTGACGAGAAATTCAAATCAGGTAATATATATATTCTTGTATATCCTTCTATATTTCCTATTAGTCCCGTCAGCATGTATTGACAATATGCAAGCAATTGATAAATACTAGTTTAGGACCCAACAAAATTATGAAAAGCCGTGTACCATGCATTGTAAATGTCAGCTCGCGTTAAAGCTTTGCGCACGTGCTACAGCGGCAGAGAACGCATTCCTCGTGCAATACGCAAGGGCGACTCACGCAGTATAAATACAGACAACAAAGCGTTCTGGTATATTTTTGGAATATTTTCCACAACAGAATATTTTGTCAAAGTGTAAAAGTAGGGATGAGTTTTAGGTAGAGGAATATCCTCGTAACTCTCCATTCCTTAAAATAATGGTCCAAGGAATGGAGAGTTACTCGGACATTCCCCTCTACATAAACCACGCTTTGTTCTTCATTGTTCGATGCGATTTATCGCGTAATACATTTTCCATTATACGTTTCCAAACTGCATACACAATATATCCCCAGACAAACCGTGCGCTGTGGCTCGCGTCGTTTACAATGATACAGTGAAAGTGTAATACTAGTAGTTTGGACATGTCACAGTGATGCCAATATACTATTCTCATCATAGGATTACTTATGCATATGAGAGCAAGCAACTATAACGCTTGAACAGAAACAGTATGCCCTCATTATCAATTCACACACAACACTAATGTATAACATGTATCTAATATCCAGTATGGTTGACAAATGTTGTGTGATTCAGTGTGAACCGGAGACATTGTTTTAGTGTCCGACCATTTGATATTCTGGGGAGGGGCCCTGGGATTGTATAAAAAGATATATTGCCCTCTAAAGTTCTTGAAAAAAAATAATATGCTTCATATTGTTGAAAAAAAGAAGAAATTGTCTGCCACAAGGAGAAAAGCATTTTGGCTCATAGTTATAATTTAACAAAATCTGTTTTTTTTGCAGCTATAGCTGAATAGGTTTTACGCCGCATTTAGCACTATCTAAACCATGTCACAGTTGCGGACGCCATAACACCATGAGGGGAATCGAACCCGTGTCATCAGTGTGACAATTCAACGCTTCAATCACGAGACGACCGAACCTTCCCGAGATTTACAGAAGTGTTTCTGATCCCTTAACTGATATCATCTCTACCTTGATATATCACTTCCAACTACAATGTAGCGAAATATAACCCACCTCCTAGTATATATACTATCTTGATATATCACTTCCCACTACAATGTAGTGAAATATATCCCATCTACTAGTATATAAACTACCTTGATATATCACATCCCACTACAATGTAGTGAAATATAACCCACCTCCTAGTATATATACTACCTTGATATATCACTTCCCCCTACAATGTAGTGAAATATAACCCACCTCCGAGTATATATACTACCTTCATATATCACTTCCCACTACAATGTATTGAAATATAACCCACCTCCTAGTATATATACTACCTTGATATATCACGTCCAACAACAATGTAGTGAAATATAACCCACCTTCTAGTATATATACTACCTTGATATATCACTTCCCACTACAATGTAGTGAAATATAACCCACCTCCTAGTATATATACTACCTTCATATATCACTTCCCACTACAATGTAGTGAAATATAATCCACCTCCTAGTATATATACTACCTTCATATATCACTTCCCACTACAATGTAATTTAGAATTGACCTTCACTTTGTGTGAGTTCATTAGAGCATGAATCTTCATAGGGTGAGGGCCCAACTGTATGAACGTCGGAGCGCGTCGTAAGTCATTAACGTCAAGTATAAGACGTCAAAATGGCCGACATGGTAACAGGATGGGAGAGATTTCCGAAGATGTTAATGAAGCTGTGGTGGTTACATTTGTTAGTCATCATTGATCAACTGGCTGATCATTGAAAGGTGATTAAAGAGGCTTCAAACTGACACTAAGGTAAATTCGTAGATTGCTGGAGACTGTCACTGTCAGCCAGACACGGATCGAGTCGATACTACGATAGTTTGAATGTGCATTTCTTCGTTTGGTCATTAGGGATGGCAGTAGTGGGGATATTCTTGAACAATCAAGCAATCAAGCTCTCTGATGTTTCTCAATGTTTGCTGAAACGCTGAGACCAAGATTAAAGGTTCTAAATGATCAGAAAGAACGCTTATGTATGTTTTCGTGCTAGGAAATTCCCAGGGGTTTCCCCAGGAATGTGGAAGTAGTCCGTCAGTGTTTACGTCATTTCAAGAACACGGTCTCGTGAAAAAAATATGAACGCCAAATTGTGTCGTTAATACACTTATGAACGTCAGTATCGCGGTCATGTGACCAACCTCTCGTCCAATGTAATGAAATATAACCCACCTCCTGGTATATATACTACCTTTATATATCACCTCCCACTACAATGTAGTGAAATATAACCCACCTACTAGTATATATACTACCTTCATATATCACGTCCCACTACAATGTTATGAAATATAACCCACCTCCTAGTATATATACTACCTTGATATATCACGTCCCACTACAATGTAATGAAATATAACCCACCTCCTGGTATATATACTACCTTCATATATCACGTCCCACTACAATGTAATGAAATATAACCCACCTCCTTGTGTATAAGAGACTCCTTGGTCATCTGTGATCGTGAATGAGTACCATTCTATAACTCTAGTGGTACACCTCTCTCATTAATACTCACAAGCGGCAATGCCTCATCTATAAATGATAGTTTCACATGTGTACGTGCGAAAGCCATCAGTGTCCTTTATACCTACCCCTAGACTGTAGGAGATCTTCTCCGTGGTAAAGCCGGTCTGTTTCTCAGTCTTGCCTTCACCTACATTGAAGGGGCCAAACTTGGTCGGCTTGTTGTTCTTGGCCCAGAACACGCCACACTTCTGATTTCATAACATGAAAATAATTGGATAATTGTTAGTAATAAACTAAAACAAATAAGATATATTTATTTCACGATTTCTAAGTGACTCACAAGTAAAACACTACACGTGTATATTGAAAAGGTAAAACATTATATGCTTAGAAGTGTTTATGTCCTTCCTTCAGATTGGAAATTGGATTTTATTATCAGGTAACAAGGTAGACACAATTTTATGGATAACAACTGCTTTAATACTGTTAAGTTGTTATCCATAAAACTGTGTCTACCTTGTCACCCGTCAACTTCTAAGTAATGCCTATCAAACACAATATTATCAGGTTGTAATCAAATTGTATTATGTTATTGTTTAACACCCTGACGCCGAGACTCACTGCGTCCAAGTCGGTGTAGTTCTCCAGCAGGACAATGCCACGGATGTCGTAGTCGTGGACCAGTCGCCAGAAGTCAACCACCGTCGACGTCAGGGGGATTTGAGTGAGGATAAAAGCCTCCCGCTTCTCATATGACTGAAATATTAATAATATTGGGGTATCTATAAGACATAACCATATTAATTATATTTGATAACGGAAATACAGGCTAAGAAAATATGGAAGGATCCAAATTGTTCATAATTTCCATGACAACATATATCAAATAAATATTTATCATATTGAATATACGTTGAAAGAACATGTGATAGATATTGGGGACAATTACCGGTGCGATGACGGCGTTGATGTAGTCATTGCCTCCTGCAATATGGGTTGAGAGAATAGCGCGATGTTTGTCTCCTGTAATAAAAGCGATACACTTAAAGATGGACAGTACTTTTCATATTTAACCTTTTCATACATGGGCGTTCATACTCTTTGTGTCTTGTCTCTTTTTGCATCGACATAACATGAAGTTGTTTGTGCCGACACCATACTTACAGTACAATATTAGCCTGAAAAGTATGTGAGCCGAACTTCGAAGGATGTAGAATACACACTTAAAAATTTGCATCTACAATACGTTCCATGCTTACAGACTGTATGTGTACCAAATATACAGCAAAGTAACATATTATGCACTCATCAAAATGACTAGATATTCTCTGTTGACAAAACTGTTGTCAAAAATAGTCCGAGCAATAATCTAGACATTGCAAAAATTTCAGCACGCTGGCTGCCAAGGCTTCCGTCTTCTGATCAGAAATGTTCCAGGTTTATTATCTCTCGTGGTAATTTGTGTGGAAACAGCTAACACCAACTCCTGATAAGAAGGCAAAGCCTGTGTCATCAACAGGCAACGGGATGGCTCGGGGCTTCTGGGATTCTGAAGAAATCCTACTGGTGGACTATCTCCCGTGAATATTATTCTTATCTGCTAAAGCAATTGCGTGAGAATATCAAGACTAAACGTAGTGACAAACTCACTAAAAGAGTGTTGTTCCACCAGGACAGTGCACCTGTGCCAAGTTTGTTGTCGCCATGGCGCAATGTATGACTGTGGTTTCGAACGTTTTGAACATCCTCTGTATTCACCTCATTTAGCACTGTTTGGCAAACAATCATTACTCCATTTCGGCTCCGAAGGGCATTTTACACTTCCAGGAGGAAGCCTTCTACACAAGTTGGATCCTGTCACTCTGGCATCATTGACAAAAGTGTGTGAACCATGGAGAGGATTATGTAGAAAATTAATTAGCAACCGACTCCATGATAGTCCATGAATGTCCCTCCTCATGCGGTACCTATTTACCTATTGGTTACGAATGTGTGACTGGTTGCTATCTCTTTCATTATAGCGAGATACAAGTCTTACCCTATCCCGCCATGAGTCTGGCACGACGAAACCTACCAGGAAGAATGTCCTCGCTCCTGTTTTTGTTGATGTTCTCCAGGTCTCTGGCAGCGTCACTTAGATGATCTGTTACAGGACACTCGCTGAGTTTCTGGAGTGAACAGGTGAAAGCAGTTAATGCACAACCAGCACTAATACCAAACAGAAACATTTGATATCAGGAGCAATGCTCTGAGTATTGGGGATATAACACATAATCAGGAAGTTCACACACTGTTATCACATGTTTATGTACAACTATTGTATCATTTCAAGGTTAACTTGAGGCACACAGCACTCACCTGATAGGCAACAGCAATGCCAGAGCCTCCCTTTAGCTGTTTATAAGCGTTGTCATAGAAACTGGCGGGTGTGGGGTGCACTGTATGACACAGAGCGTCCAGGATGCAGTCGTGCAGGAACACATACTGGGACTATGGCATATATGCAAACAATATGACACTAAAGTCACGTGTGAAAACATCAAAAAAAAAATTATCCGAAAATTTATAAAGACGCCTTAAAGTAAACTCTGACATCTAAACAAACAATAAAACCTCGCACAATAAAACTTCTTACAGAGATTTACTGTGCAGAATTTCATATCTTAGCTGCTTAGAAACACAGAAATCGTATTCAATCCTATATTGACTATTCTCTCAACACCATTCCAATGATCGTTAGAATCATCAAAGTAAACGACTTAGACCTGCGTTCCTCTGGCATTCAACAACCTATCTTAGAACAAAATTATATTTAAAGTGACATTAAACCTCGATCACTCATTAACTCTCATACCCTGCCTGATCTGATACGTCTGATCCCCCCTCCCCCCAAATTACTATCTCAAATTATTTCACATACACATCACTGCAATACCAGTGATGACACAATCCTGCTTGTTGAGATGTTATTTCCACTTTGCTTTGTTTGTCTAAAAACCCTTGTTCACCCTTCCTGGTGAGGCTTCCCTGTATCTACTGACCTGTGTCTGCACCATGCTGACTCTGAAGTTCCTCAGCCGCCAGACACAGCCGTAGATGTCCACCTTGCTGCGGGTCTCTGCGTCTTCTATCAGAGAGTCCAGAGCAATCAAAGTTCCTGTCCTGCCTACGCCAGCACTGGACAGGAAACAAAGAAGTTATAACCATGACAAAACATTACCACGCCTGTTTACATCTAGCTGGTATTGACATATACTCACCAATATACAAAGAAGATACCCCGGGTGGTCTATGTAGAAGGTTAAGGGCATTGGGCTATTTATACATACACGACACATCAGTATTACATGTGAACAGACACAACGTGGTATTCTCTGTCAGCTGTACTGGTATTGATTGTTTGTTTTTTAACGCCGCACTCAGCAAAGACGGTGATCTGTAAATAATCGAGTCGCAACCAGACAATCCAGTGATTGATATCATGAGCATCGATCCACGCAATTGAGATGTGATGACATGCATCAACCAAGTCAGCGAGCCCGAAGAAGACCTATTCTAACCAGGATCCTTTCGTGTCTGTACTAATATTGAAAAGTACTTTATCTGACAAACCGTTTTAAAGAATACATGCAATCACAGTTCAATGACGCGCTATGAACACAAACATCCCAAATGTTGGGTCATGAACATGGCACTGGAATATATCCAAGCCGGTGTTACTGAAAACATCCCGTTGCCAACATATACACTCTTCTATACACTCCGTCCTATTACTTTGGTTTTTGCTGGCATCCGTTTTTCTAGCTCGTTTTCTTGATGCGTTGTTGAATAAAATTTTATGCATTTAGACACTCTCAAACTAGTTATAAATATAATCTAGTAACTGTACTGTCCATCGACGACAGTGAGTGAGTGAGTCTGGTTTTATGCCGCTTTAAGCAATATTCTAGCAATATCACGGTGGGGGATACCAGAAATGGGCTTCACACAGGTTTCATTCAGTCTTAACGTATTGATTAATGATGCATCACTTGTTCCCGTCACAGTATGCTGGAATTTTGCCGATGCGACGTTACATTTTAACTCAGTCACTCACTCACTGCACTGCACACCACTTGTGACTGTACCTGCAGTGTACCACCATGGGACCTTCCGCAAAGTCACAGAAGGTCCTGACTTTGTTCCTGAGGTCCACCAGAGACATGGTGTTGTCTGGCACATCCTTGTCAGGCCACACCATGTAGTGAACATGTTTCACGGTCTTTTCCACCGCTCCCTGTGGAAGATATGCTTATGCATATAGGTCTAGCTTAAACCTAAACAAATATCCATAACTATATATCGGCAATAGTTGTAAGCAGGGACTAATAGTTCTCAGAAGAGTGACAATTGTCAAACTAGACCGCCAATTGTTTTTGTAGGGTCCTTGGTCAAAATTAATGGAGGGCTTCGGTACATAGTCTATCCATACCCAAACAACAACTAGAAGGATGTGACGTATATTGGAGTTTAACGGTCACTATTGCACTTATGTCGCGACGAGGGTTTGTCCACTGAGTCCACTGAGTCCACCAAGATACCATGGTACAGTGTAACATTGATACCCCGCTCAGACACAGTGCACTTACTCCAAGCCGACCAGTCCTTGTTTTAGCCCCTTAATGCCGATCGCCAGACAGGGTAATACCACGTACCATCTTTTAACGTCTTTGGAATGACGCGGCCGGGGATCGAACCACCGACCTCTCCGGGCAGACGCTCTATTCGCTGCACCACGGAGCGGTGAAACTGGAAGGAACGGTCATGGACTAATTCACTATCTTCACTTTATTAACTAATTGAAATTGTCAATCCCACCTTCCTCATTTTAAGCGTCCTGATAGTGAAGTCAGCAAGGGGACAGGAGTCAGCTACTGTGATCTTCCAGGGGCCGAACGTCTTGGAATCCTCGCCTGGTTCATTGGGCCAGTACGGCTCACACCGTCTCTGTTATACAGGGGACATTCGTAGATGGTAAATTTAAAAACATCAACACCGGACTCGAATATCTACCAAAACAGTTCCATAGGCCATAAAAGAAAAAAAAATAGTGATGAAAAGTATATGAACTAATCATTGAAAATCAGTGATGACACCAGGTGTCTACGAAAAGGATATGCATGTTCTGCTCTACATTTATTTCATTTCAGTTTTAAAAGGCTGTGTATATTTGGATAAGCATAATGATTACGAAGAGTAGCATGTTGAGTATATTAAATGATGATTAATTCATTTATCACATCAAGGTCATCAAGTCATATCAAAATTAGACATCACCCTTCCATCTTCAATGATATTGGCCAGCATGACGATGACAGGCACGTTCTGTTGCCAGATCATCTCCAAGAAGTCCACGACGGTGTGAGGCAGGGGCCCTGGCGCCATAAGGGATAGTTGAGTAAACATGACGTGATATGGGGTTTAACGTAGTGTCCAAGATTATTGCACTTATAGCGACGTGTATGCACATGTGTGTGTGTGTGTGTGTGTGTGTGTGTGTGTGTGTGTGTGTGTGTGTGTGTGTGTGTGTGTGGCTCCTTGTACTAGTCCGGACTGATGCAGATTTATAGTGCTAGCACACTGAGATACCATGCCGCAGTTTAACATAAATACCCCACTCAGACACAGTATACTGACCCCGAGCCGACCGGTCTTTGTTTTAACCCCTTATTGCCGAGCGCCAGACAGGGTAACAACATCTTTAAACGTCTTTTGGTATGACGCGACCGGGGATCGAACCCCGGACCTTCCGCTCTCCGGGCGAACGCTCTACCACTAGACCAAAGAGGTGGTTCCAATGAGATGGCCATATGTTAACTTAGATATATACATTATTATACGAGAAAAGTGAGTGAGTGAGTCAGTATGTTTTTAGCCGCTTTAAGCACTATTCCAGCAATATCACGGCAGGGGGCACGAGAAAAGGGCTTCACTCATTTTACTCATTGGAATCGAACCGGGTCTTCGGCGTGACGAGCGAACGCTTAACGATTAATCTACCCGACCGCCCCCATACTGATTTTACGAAAGAAGTGTCAGAATTATTGTAAGTCCCGAACGATGTCTCTATATAAGTGCAATTATCTTGGACGCGACGTTAAACCAAATTTCACCTAACCTCACCTCATCATCTTATGGGTTGAATATCAGTATACTTCACTGCGCTCAGTATTGTTAATTATTTATTGAAGGTTGGTCGTACGTAAGGCATATGCACGTTTGCAGACTTTGACGTCTAAAAGTTTGTTTACCCTGTGTTGCAATGTACTTTTTTCCCCTTGTTGGTCCCTGCAAAACAAGAAACCTTAATTGAATCATTCTTCCTTAAACACTTAGTGGGTTATAAAGTGTAATGGATCTACACATCAAGTTAACTGTGTGGATGGCTTGACAAACTCACAGACATGTTCACATTTAGAGTCTCTAATGAAGTCCTTCTTTATGTATCCCAAATATCATGTAACTGAATCTCTTGAACTTACATCAATGAAGCTGGCGTTTATGTAGCCACTGCTTCCACTCGGGCCTTTCAGCACGACCAGAGAGGGGTTGTCTTAAAAAAAATCAAGTCTTTCTAATCAGTAAATGTATGCATTCAGGTATACAAAACTGCATCAAAAGACACCTGTCGCCGATACATCATAGGTAGTTATCAAGCAACAAGTACATTTACAAAATAGTGTGTACCTGTATAGGGGTGCTATTCAACGATGTCAGTCCCTTGTTACAATAAATACTCCAATTCCTCCAAAGTCATTTTTTACATTTTGTAGAAGCAAAACAGCTTTATGAATCCGCTCAGAAACATGAAAACTCACACCAAAGACTACAAGGCGAACCAAAATCAGAACAAATCTTTTGACAACATGAACAAAATGAATAAGACACGGTACTGTTTCCCAGTGTTTCGGTGAAACAAAATTTAATAGTATTATGAACATACTTTATATTTATACTTTTATACAAATATATCACAGACACACTCATGTTTTACGATATTAGTGAGTGAGTTTACATTCCACGTCACATTGGCAATATTTCTGCCATATCGTGACGAGAAGTTGTACATTAATAATAGATATATTTAGACTGGATAAAAAGCCTGTGGTGGATGCACAGTACAATAACTATATTTTACGTCAACGTTATATATAGATAGATGTCGTGAAAGGTATAAGCCTTTGCCTTACACGGGTAAATGCCTTTAAATCGATTCTTTGGACTGTTCACTTGCGTCAGCGCTTTGTCGTGAATTGCTGTCAGACCTTTGGGGAGCTCCTGTAAATTCAACACCAGAGCAACGTCAGTTTCGAATATCTGCCAGAACAGATTCCATAGGGCGTAAAAGGCCCACTAGTGATGAAAAATATAAGAATTGATCACTGAAATTAGTGATGACACCAGGTGTTCGCAAAAAGTATGTCCTGCTATACCGGTAGCACCCACAACAGTTTCTTTAAAACGTAAGTGGCAGTTGGTAAGGAAGTGTGAAAACTCGATGTAAAGGGTACATTAATGTAAAATGAATGGAACTGCTTCTTGCATCATGTAGACAAAGAGCCATATCAGATTTAGTAAATTCCTCTCGAATAACAAAATCAGGCCTTTGATCCTTAGAAGGAGGATAGCCAAGTTTCAGCGACATGGGTCCATCAAGACCTTCACAATACGTACAGCATACTCTTTCACCAAGATTTCTTTTGTGGCTTTCTTCTTTGCAACGAAGTCCTTGAGGTCACTGACTGCCACTGGAACACTACTGGGAACATTGATATAGATAGCCTCGTCATCGTCGTAGACGGCCCCGTTTTCCGATGCACCCTGGCCTTCCCGGGCTGCCATAGGGAAGCTCAAACCGTTGGTCATGTCTTCCCCAGTCTCTGAAAACAGCATAGCAATAGTCCGGTACCAACAACTACATGTGAAGCTAATAGATCTAGACCACCATACCAAACATTCATGTTAACAAATGAAACAGAAAACTTTTGAAAAGGAATAAGACATGAAATAATTATTCAAAAGTTACTATTGCAGTGAGTGAGTGAGTATGGTTTTACGCCGCTTTTAGCAATATTCCAGCAATATCACGGCGGGGGACACCAGAAACGGGCTTCACACAATGTACCCATGTCGGGAATCGAACCCGGATCTTCGGCGTGACGAGCGAACGCTTTAACCACTAGGCTACCCGACCGCCCCGTTACTATTGCAAGTGATTTATGACTGTACATACACTGCAAACACGAAAACGTCGTTTTTTTCCGTATATGGTCATTGGACGGAAAAACGACTAAAAATTCATTAAAATTGATTAATTGGTCAGCGTCTAGAAAGTGTCCAGAAAAGGGTCGAGTTTTTCAAGCGTAAAATGGACGGAAAAACGATGCTTTTTGCTCCGCCTTGTACAACTGTTAACGGCCAATCAGATGGCGCTGGTCCCCCGACGCACGTGATGTCCAAGGCTTCCTTTCGGAAGCTTTAGGTTTCGTATTTCTGGCATGCCTTGCTCTAGTATCTGTCGCGCGCAGTGCAGCGAGATTTGCTGATAAGCTAGTTTTAGGATATGTAACATGTTAATGGAATTCAGACACGCGCCAAGAAGTCAAACCAAACAATGTTACTAAGTTTATTGTGGTAACGGCTATGTACAGTTACCCCTATCGAATAATGGGTTGTGTTTCATTTGGTTATAACAATAACTAATTTTTAATGTGAAGTTTACAAGATTTACGACTTGGACGCGAGGTCGGTCACATGACGTTCTTCACGTGACTGTATTCTTGAAAAGGCGTAAACACTGACTACTTCCACATTCCTGGAGAACCCTTGGAATATCCTGGTACGAATTCATACAGAAGCGTGGTTGCAAGCCCATTTAAGGATACCCTCGCTACAACCCATCCCAGAGAGAAAAAACACGAAAAAATATCCATACTGTCGCAGTGACAATTTACAGAAATCTATGAATTTACCTTAGTATCTATTTGACACATCTTCACAATCACCTTTCAATGATCGGCCAATTGATCAGTGATGCCAAAGGCTTGAAATAGCCACAGGTTAATTAACAACTTCGAAAATATCTCCCGTCACGTTTATCGTGTCGGCCATTTTGACGTATTGTACTTGATGTAAATGTATTACGACGCTCTGTCGTTGTAATTGACTTACTGAGGTAATTCTGTAAAAGATCTTCTCATCTAATGAGGATATTGTTTGGAATATATTTCTTGTAAACATACTAAAACATATGTTCCGCGCTTTGGGGGGAACTATTTTATTCCGGGGTGGCCCGTTAAATCTAGTAGTAAGTCAAGGCACCATGTGTGATCTGTTATTTTATGTGTTTAAATTACGATTTGGGGCGTTAATAAAATACACTGACGCAAGTTTATTCTATTCAAATCAATTGGATAATTGAATATGCTTTCTTTTACATGTTACATAACATCACTGCACAAAATATGAACAGTTGCAGTAACACACTACGGTAATCGCATTAAACATCATTTTCAACTGTACAGTATTTCAGTTATATCATGGTGTATCAGACTGATGTGGGATAAAAATCCAAAGTGGTTCAGGTCATCCAATGGGTGTTCGGGAAAAGGTGAGCGTATCCTGCCACACAAGTGGCACCCGTCACAAACACATGCAAGGACAAGTCAATTGTTCACCTGAACAAAGCACGGAAACACACAATGATGCCCGTCCTCAGTTTTACCGAGCATGTAAATTATTTTGTCCGTCAAAAACATGGACGAGTATAAACAATATGTTCATTCACGTAATACATGTCATACATTTGACAAAATGTATTGATTCGGAGCATTATTGTTAATCACAGCGTATGCAGTTGAACTCATCACCCTTCCCATTATTGATAACCCTTCTTGAAGATCTATGAAATCAGAAGCTGCAACACTCTATCTTTTAACTGGCATGTCAGACTTCTATTTAATTACTCAGTTTTATTTGCACGGATTACTATGGAAGGGACATTGTCTCGTTGTCGCATTGTCGCATTGACGCCTTTACAAAAACAAGCAAAACGTGTCAAAATTAACAAAAGCGCGACAATTGGCCATTTGTCGCATTGTCGCGTGTTCGCATTGTCGCTCTTTGATAATCCTTTTCTTTATTTTACAAAAGGGCGACGATGCCGTAACGCGACATTTTCAAGGTCAAAATATGTCTCGTTGTCGCATTGTCGCCCCATCACAAATGTGTATAAAAGGCGTAAAGTTCAGTTATTGTTACAGTTAGGAAGTTCAACCTGATAAATGTACGTCTTGAAATGAAAACACAAGTCCGTCCGCGAGTCCATAACGTTTTATTGTGAGCTCTTCTCTAACGTGCTTAGTGTTCAACTCACATGTACAGTTCCAAACACGTAGTACCTCCTCAATAATCCACATACCTCCAATGCAGTGGTCTTCCGGAAGATCTTACTCTTGACCGTATTAGACAACTGACGAGTGCACGCCTGACCTGTGACCTCGTTGCAACCCTCGTGATGTGTTTGCCGAAGGGAGAGGTGTAGGAAATGTGTGCTCCAGCCCAGCGCAGAGCTCGCGACACACTGTATACTGATGTATACAATATATTGCAGTTGATATACTGTATACTGCATGTGATACTTATTTGCGGAAATGTTACAACTTTCAAGATTCAAGATTCAATTTGCATATATTTCATATACAACAGACCACCGTCATACATCACTGGAATACTGCTGAGAGCGACGTTAAAACAAATTGTTTTCATAATGGATCGCTGCAGTCATTTAAAATAGAACCGTATACATATGTACATGTAGTAACAACTCACTCTATTTGTTTCGAATATTCAGCAGAAAATATATTATTAACCAGGTCTTTGGGAAAAGATATCAGATTTTTATAAGCAGCCACAGAGGGATGATAAAGGACCCCTCGCTGATTAGGTTCTTGTTTACTTAAGAGCAGAGTTGGCCATGTTAGAATAGAATAGAATAGAATAGAATTTTATTGTACTGAACACCCTCATAGGGCAGGGTACAGACTATCTACATATGAACATGTATATAATTATAGATATGACAGGTATATGTATATGATGTACATTTTGTATAAAGGCATTATTTCATTTACATCATATAAACATTTATGTATATTAGGTTATTGCTGGCAGCGTACACTTAATTGGATTGAATATAATAGAATTTTCTTATGGCCTCAGCTTGAACATGTGGTATATAGTCCGGGCAACAAGACTTGACCATTCTTTTGGTGGATTCATAAAGTGTTTTAAGAGGTTTGTTTTATCGGTCTGGGAAGGGTCGCCTATTTCTACCAGTGCCATCAGATTTCTCCTAAGGTCTTTATATAGTGGGCATGAAAGCAGGAAGTGTTCTTCATCCTCCACGGAATGGCAGTCACAGTGCGGACAGAACCTATTTTCAACTGGGATGTTGGAGTATCTCCCCCTCTCAATTTCCAGGCTATGAAGACTCAGTCGGAGCTTGGTAAGGGCCCTTCTGTGACTTGTATTCTTTACAGTTGTGAGGTAATCTTTTAATCCATATTTGTCATTTATCTGCCCCAGATGTCGCAGCTTATGGTTTACACCGGTTGGAATCTGGTCAGTTTCAATGAGATAAAAATCTTCAAACTTTGATATCAGGCTTTTGGAAAATTGCTGAGTGGTGGTATTGTTTCGATGGGGACCTTCAGATATCACACTTTGGAGAAGACACTCGATGTGTGAAAACCAGGAATTAGTTAGTTTCTTGTCCTCCTGAAAAGCTGCATAGAGCAGTCTACCACGATCCATGTTGCCAAGACGTATATAGTACTTGAGCATGTTGATATAGATTTGGAGAGATAATGGGTAGGTACCTAACTCACTAAGGGAACCAATGTTGCTGCTTCTTTTTGGACTGCTGAGGAGACCCTTCGCGACTTTGATGGAGGTACTGTTACATTGTTGTCTGTGCCAGTTTATCAGTGGATCAGAAGTAGATTTAAACAGCTGACAGCCCCAGATTTCAGAACCGTAGGTTGCTATTGGAACCACTAGGGCATGGTAGAGTCGTAGTAAGACTTCTATGGATAAATGGGTATTTGTTGTCAGGCTGTGTTGAATTTTGAACCAAGCCCGCATAGCCTTTCCTTTCAAGGTTGAGATTGCACTCTTGAAAGAACCGTTTTGATGAAATATTACACCAAGGTAGGTGTATGATTCACTGATTTCTAGTGACGCTGTCCCTAACTTAAAATGAAGTTTCTGGTCACTCTTGGAACCGCCAAATATAATTATTTTTGTTTTTGATATATTAACTTTTAATTTCCAGTCCTCTGTAAATCTGCATAAAGTATTTATGCTGGTCTGGAGACATTTTGCAGACTGTGACAGCAGTAGCAGGTCATCAGCAAATAGTAAGTGTGTTAAAGGGACGCCGTCTAGCGATGGGGCAGCAGTATCATTAGTTGACAAGTAGTCCTTTAGGTCATTAATGTAGATATTGAATAGGTTTGGGCTACAGACACAACCTTGCTTGACACCAATGTTGGATTTGACAGGACGAGTGACGCCATCCTGGGTCTTGATGATGTAGGAGACGTTTGAATACATACTGTTTAAAACATTCAGGATATTTCCTGTGATGCCATATTTTATCAGTTTATAGTGGAGTCCCTCCCGCCACACCGAGTCAAATGCCTTGCTAAAATCCACAAAGCAAGTATATAGTTTTTTCTTGGACTGCCTGTACTTCTGTATGATTGTTCTAAGTATAAACATATTGTCAGTTGTTCTGTGGTTGCTCCTGAATCCTGCCTGGCTTGTGTCATAGTGTTTGTTCAAGTCCATATGTTTGGTAATTCTTGTATTAAGTATT